CTCTGAAACCTCTGGAAGAGATCATCTAGTAATGGACAGCAAGGCATCAGTACACTGATGACACCCAGCTCTGCATTTGTTTTTTGCTAGCATGGTCAATTGTGTTTCCCATTTCTGGTGTTGTTGGAACCAGGATAAAAAAAGGCAGTAAGAAAAGGAAAATGTTGTTAGGAAATAGCTGGAGCTATAACTTCATCTTCTCTTCAGGACATCTGTCCATTCCTAGTTTCAAAGTGTGTTTGATTTCTTGCTATGCCTGTTCCCTGTCAAGTGGGTCTAAAAATGCATGTAACCTTAGAAGACACCTAAGACTTCCTTTTTGGCTACAACTGGGGGGAGCAGTGGGAATCTGTGCTTGGTTTTGCCTCCAACCTCTATGTAGTCTATCTGGATGAAAGCAACACAAAAATAGGGAAACAAAACAGCACCCCTGAGTTTTAAACCTGTGAATGCAATAGGACCTCAGTATTTCAGTAGCAGCCTCTCCTCTGTGGTAGCTGGTCTTGATGAGAACCCAACGACTTACAATATCCAAGGTGGAAGGTGTAGGAAGTTAGAGGCAGGACCTTTTCTCTTGAAGCCTTTTGGGTGTTAGTTTCCTACCGGGAGATCAGGATGAGTCAGGCTTAAGATGGGAACCTTCTGTTGCACAGTTATGCTAACATCTGATAACATGGACATACATTATTTTTATTTCCACGGATTAGCATCTGATTCCTGATACAGCCAAGAGACTTTGTTTTCTATGCTTCAGATGAAATCCGCCTTTTTGAAATCTAGCATGCTAATTTTGCTGACCTCATGCTTTCCCTGTCTCAGGATCTAGAATGCTGTTGTATTGTTGATCACTTCCTCCCAAGTTACCCATCACCTTCACATGCTCTACCAATTTTTCCCTGTTAGTCAGGACAAGATCCAAGATGGATGATCCCCTAGTTGTATCCTCCACTTTCTGGAGCAAAAAGTTGTCCTCCACACAGGTTAGGAACAAGCTTGACATTTTATGTTTGGCTGCATTTTTCTTCCAATAGATGTCTGGAAAATTGAAGTCTCCCATCAGTACCACCCCACAGCTTTTGGGTAGATTTGTTACCTGCTTGAAGGATGCCTCATCCACCTCCTTTTCCTGACTGGGTGGCCTATAATAAATCCCCATAATTATATCAGTGCTGCATTTTTCACCTTTCATCTTCACATTCTGTTTTGCAGTCTTCTTTCTCCTGAGCTGGGGAAGAAGGTATGTGCAACACCACCACCTTTTCTCCCAACACTGTCCTTCTGGAACAGAGTGTCACCCTTGATGTTGACATTCCAGTCGTATGAGCTATCCTGCCAGGTCTCAGTGGTGCCAATCAGATCACAGTTCTTTTCACAGGCTGCAGCTTCCAGCTCATCTGGTTTATCCCCCATACTTTATGCATTTGTTTACATGCATTGGACGTCTTTTGCATTCTTGCTTTCCTTTTGTGCCACTTGTTACAGTCCTGTAGTTCTCTGGCCTTTTCCCAGAGTTGAGTTGCTTCTCTGAGTCCTTTTCCCTCTGGACTGCTTGCTCTGTTGCTGGAGGGTTTTGAACACCATCCCCCGTGGAACCTAGTTTAAAGGTTGACCAGGGGATGCCCAAAGGTGCTATTCCCCATTCCCCTTAGATGGATCCTATCTCTTGATAGCAGTACTCCTCCCAAAAGCATCTGCCCATTGTCAAAGAAGCTGAAGCCTTCATGTTGACACCACCATCTCAGCCTCACATTCACTTCCAGGATACAGTGGTCTCTGCCTGGACCCTTGCACTCCATGTGCAGAATCAATGAGAACACCACTTGTGCCCCAGACTCCTTGATCCTCCTGCCAAGAGCCTCATAGTCACCTCTGATCTTCTTGGTGGTATTCTTGGTAGTACTGTTGGTGCTTACAGGGGCAAGGAGGAATGGGTAGTGGTCGGAAGGATGGCTGAGCTTTGGCAGTCTCTCTGTGATGTTCTGAATTTGGGCTCCTGACAGGCAGCACACCTCCCAGGCCCCCAAATTTGCAGGACTAATTGGTGCCTCTGTACCCTGCAGAAGGGAGTCACCAACTACCACCACTCTTCTCTTCCTTGAAGCTCCTGACCTTGCACTTCTTGCTCTCTAGGCTGCTGCCTCCTCTGCCTCATGCTCGCAGGTGTCCTCTCCTCTGTTTTTTCCTCAGCAGTTCCATTGGAGAGTACTTGAAAGCAGCCACTGACATCAGTCTGCTGCTCTTCAGTTCTGGGAGTCCTCCTTCAAATAGTTCTATGCTGCTACTTGTCCTTCTTGCCTTTTGGGGTCTCCACTACCAGCCTCTCATAACTCTTGTCCAAGTAATCTTCTTGGTTCCAGTTGCAGTACAGCATGGATACCTGCATTGGCAACATGTACGGGTCGCGCGTGGGTGCACGTGCACCCCCTGAGATTGGCCGTGCTCACCCTGAGAAGCACCAGTGGCACTTCCGGGTTTGCTGCTGGCATTTCTACTGGTGATTGGCTGCTGGTGTCCCGTCCCTCCCCCAGTATTAGGATACTGGTGCCTCCCCAGTATTAGAAGGCACCCAGCTGCCTGTGCCCCCAATCTTTGAATCATCTCCTCCAGGCTAGATACCAGCCTACAGTTGGTGCAGATGAAGTGCTCTTGATCCTCTGAGAGGAACACAGATGTAGCACATCCCACAGAGGCCAACAGCTGACCCAGACTCCATTTGTGTCTCCTTTGCTTCTTGGAGAACACCCGTGCTGTAAGGAGAAAGAAGCAGAGGGGGAGGAAAGGGGGAAATAAGACGTGTCACAAGAACCTGCATGTCAAACACTTGCACCAGGGCTCTTGCACACATACACGCAGGCACAGAGTCTCCTGCTCCCTGGCTTAGGCGAATGCCCTAAGCAAACTCCTTCTCTTTTTGCTGCCCTCTGCTTGCTGCTCCCATGGGTTGCTTTTTATAAGGCTGCCTATTCTAGCTTCACCCCTCAATTACTTAAACCAGAGTAAGCTCTGTCACTCGGTCACTCCAGAAGGGGGAAGAAAAGAAAAGAACAAAAAAGAGAGAAGGAAAAAAAAAAAGAAAAGGACCCCCCCCAATCCCCAAACACACACACCAGGCACTAGTCAAACGTACCCATCAGCCACCCTAAGTTCCTAGCACAGAGCAAACCTTCTTCATGGCAATCTCACACCTGAGTAGCTTATCCCAGAGGGAACTGCTCTCTGCTTACTGTTCAGCAGTTATATTTATAAAAGTTATTTTTCTGTTTGTCAGAAATAAAGAAAAGTTGGGGGTTTTTTCATTGTACGTGCATGGAAATATTACTAGCTGTGAAGCCTATGAATTGACAAGTTTGACAAATGGCTGGAGCTAGCCTGTTACACCCAGGCTTCATGTCCAACTATTACAGAATGCACTGATAGAAAGAGACTTAGATAAGTCTTTTTTTTTTATGGAAAATGACCTTATAATACCTCTGCTGCACTACAGGATAACTCCTTCATCAGAGTAAACCCTGGTTATGGGTTGACAGGTAAGAACACTAGCAAACAGAGATAGCTCTTTATCCTAAGCAGGGGCTGTGAAGCGTTACATCTACAATTTGCAACTCTCTTCTTTAATGACTGGAACACAGCTCAACTGTGTCTTAATTAAACTGGATGAAGCTAACAAGTAGGCATGGCAAACTCTTCTCACAGGATGTAGTTACAAACAAAAATCGTGCACAGTCAAGGTACTTAGTACAGAAGAGAAGGGCATGGCTCGAAATCCAGTTGCATTGCTGTGGGTTTCTTGAAGAAGAAAAACCCTGATCCTGTAAAAACTGAAGTGCCTTTATAGCAAGAGCATTTTTCACTACCGCCTTAATGAAGGGTGATAGTGGTGTCATTGTCATTTAACACTGCCAATTTAAACTTCTACCTGTGTTGACAGATGCTCTGAATAACCAGGCTCTGCGCAGTGAAGGTGTGGAGGAGCTGGGATCAAATGTCTTCTTTTGTAATAGTCGCTGTCTTTCTCTCTGCCTCTGTTCTCACTCTAGGCTGGAGATTTGGGAACAGATCTGCTGTGAAGGCATTACTGAAGACACTATATAGGAAATGAATTGCCAATGGTTTATACCATCATGGGTATACTTGCCCTATTGGCATCATATGGGGAGGCCCAACGGTGTGATGCTCTGAAATACACAAAGATTGTGAATGTGTTGGGAAAGCTTCCTAAATTTTGTTTTCTGTGAATCATATACATTTAATGTGGCTAAGGAGCTCTATTCTGGGTAGGAAAAAACTACCTCCAATGTTTTTTGTGTAGTTCTGCTACATGCCTCCATCGTAAGTATAAATGTGTTTACACGTGGATCTGAGCAGACCTTGTGAAACTGCAAGGTTGAAATACCCAAACTGCCATCTACCAATCTAATCTATACACAAAGTTGTTATGTGTTAATTGTAATATTTAGCTAAATGTCTACAGTTGAAATAACTTATTACTGAAAATGGATTGCTGAAATCATGGTACTCAAATGTGTGTGCTGTAATCTAGAAATTAGTAGTGCTCAGTCATTTTGGCTGTGTGGATTTATAATACCTTGAAGAAGTGCAAAGATAGAAAATAAGCCGTATATGAGTTGAAAAATGCGTGAGGAAAATGAAGTGCTGCCTGATTTTAATGGTTAGAAATTGGCTTTTTGATATTTAATCACGACTAAGCAGGATTACTTTGAGGAAAAGCCTGTCACCATTCTTCTATAATGCTATTCATTCTGATTTTCTTCATATGAAGCAACCAGCATCAAATTAACTACAGCACACCCACACAAGTCCAGTGTTGTTTTCAGAAGAATACATTTTCTTCCTTTTGCAAACAGGTATAATTTAGAAAGTGCCAGCATCCTAGTAGAGTAATAGATAGGCAGTTCTCAATTTACTAGTCTCCATTTATTGTGGGGTTTTTTTCTTTTTTTTCTTTTCTCTCTCTTTTTTTCTCTTTTTTTTTTGCAGATCTGTTCTGAAGATGTATTGGCAAAAAGTTTTGACAGTGTTTCTGCACTTGGGTAAGTTACCAGGGCACTGACTTTGTCATTATGTTTGTTTTTGAATACTTGTATTCCCCTAGCTATTCACTTGATGAATAAAAAACTTGATTCTGGAAGATTATCTGGTATCATTTTTATTTGCAGTGTTCAAGAGAACAAGTTTTAGACCACGACTCCATTGTATTAGATGCCACATAAATACAGAACAAATCCTAAATGCCTGTATTTCTCACCTAACATTTAAGGGATTTGTTTAGTAGTACCTTTTACTGGACCAGCTATATATTTGGGAGCAATGTTGGAGAGGCCTTCAGGCATAACGTGCCCTTCCTTATGACTCATTTCTTGTTGCATCCAGAATTTCTGTTACCAACATAGCACTTTGCAGGATTTTTCCATAACTTTCAGGAGCTAATTTAAAAAAAATCTAATCTTTAAATAGCAACTGTGAAATAGTTGTGGTGAGTCAAGCCAAGTTAATACAACTAACTCTATAAAGGTTAGAAGTTTTGGGGCAATTTGGGCTGTTATCCTGACAACACCAAGTATGTATGTATGAGTGTGCGAGAGATTTTTAAACCCTGTATTATAAAAAAAGTTAAAAACAAAAGGTGAAAGTACAAAGTGTGTGGGCCCCTGAGAGGCTGAGCATGAAATGCTTGTTAGTAACAAAAATCCCATACAACCAGAGATTACAACTTGCTTCCCTTCTAACACCTTTCATGGGGTTCCACACATAGGATAAGCTACCCACTTTGAGGTGTGCCCCCTTGATGTCTTGGCATGGCACAAACTGGTCCACATTCTGTTACAAAGTGAAGTATCCAAACTAAAATGAGACGTGCCCAGAAAAGAAGCTGAAGATTTGTAGGGTGGTGTTGGAGTTGGGTTTTGAGAGCCACTTTCTGCAGTTCTTCAGATTTGCTATCTTGGCCTGGTGCAGCAGCAAACAGCTCAGGCAGATCACACTCCTGTCTGTTGTTTGGTATGAGATGGAGAAAATGTAAACTGTCTCAGAGAAGTCCAAGGCCAGCATGCCAAAGGGTGCTGAGGGCAGCAGAATGGCCACAGATGGGAACAGTCGAAGTCATGGAAGAGAGTTTCCTCCACCTCCTCTTCACAGAAAGGGCATGCCACCAACACTGCTGGGTTTAAATAATGGACAAATGTAGTCCTGGCCAGGGCCCTGTGCAGCAGCTGCCACTGAAAATTTCCAATTCTCTTGGCGATGGGCAGGTCATACAGGGTACACCAGGCTGGGTAGGCTTGCTCTAGTGTTGCTGCTTGAAGGTGCTGCCTACATGTCATGTCAGGGTGGGCAGCAAGGACACTGGCATGATGTGCTTTGTACATATGTACAGTGCCTTCCTATTCAGGATCTCAAAGCAGACCCCAATGCTGGTCACATTGGACATGGGGACAGACAGCAGGGTATGGGGCCGTTGCTCGTCATTGGCAACTGGAGAGATGGGCGGTGGTGGGGATGGCCTGTCTAGCAAGGTACCATCAGAGAGGGCTCAGCTGACCTCTGGTCTAACA